ATACCGATAATATCACCAATTTGCCATTTGTCGCCATACCTGAAATTTAAAAAAAGATTAGATTTAAGGATTTGTAAGTATTTTGTAAGGATAGGCTTCAGCTTTTTATTTACTTACTTCGATGTAGAAATGTGCCATATTTGTTGCTTGCTTCCATCATAACCATAGCTCCATTTGGTATCGCCTACTCCGCTGTTCTCATTAAAAGTGCATTTGTTAGAGCACCAACCAATTTGCATAACACCTTTACTATGCAAAAGTATCTAATAAATAAATGTATACGTATGTACATACATATATAAAAATTATTATGTATATGTATTTACATATTATGCTGTTGTTTGAATAGTTAAATGTTAATAAATAATTTCTATGCACATTAGGCCGGGTCAGTACAAAAATGAAAAGGATTATACTAGCCAAGCCTAGTACCTTTCTCCATACATTTTTTTTTGATGCGGCTTTAAAGCGTGATAGATCGTATTTTGTAATAAAATTTTAAATTTTATAGGAACCAAAAATTTAATTTCTTTAGAGATAAATTTGCTGATCTAAAAAGGATACAAAGTACTCAAATATATATTTTTCCACCTGTACATATATGTATATATTTACACGTCACACCTTAGCATTGGATTGCGAAAGTTCGAGTTAGTCTTTTAGGACGTTGCTTTAGATACATAAAATAAGCTTTCATTTATTGTGTGTGAAAATTGCAAAATATGTTTTCGACCCAGCCTAATGCACATAATATCGCATCATTCGGAAATAGAACAGCTAAATGTCCTTCGGACGTTAACGCACTTGCCGGCATGGCAACACGTTTAACTCAAGGTCATTACTCTTCGAAACTGACCGATTACCCCTTACCACAACTGTGATATACCAATGTCATGCTTCATTGAACACCTCAAACCCCTTCAAAGTTAAACTGATTGCTTACCTCATACATCCAACGCCCACCATAAACGCAAACATTGGCCTTTATGGTATTAAAACTACCCTGTGAACGCAGCGATAGCCTATCGGCCGATATTCGCACTGTCGATGTAAAATCAATATCACAAATGGTGTGCTCTGGACCAAGCCTAGAGGCCATATCGATGCGTTGCGTCTTCGTCGCTTCTGTACTATTTGATTCGATGACATTGAGCCGTTCGTTTAACCAATTCCGCACAATGACAATTTGGCTGTTAGTGAAATAACATTTATCAGTCCCACACAAGTATATAGTATGTATGTGTGTACATGCAATGAATTAGAAAATAATCATATCCCCATTCAAATTGCCTTGAAAGGAATTTGACCATCAACTGGCCCTGAAAATTTACAACTTGTGAAATAGCAGCTCCTTACTTACTCAGATAATTTCATTTCATCCACTTTTGGCTGCTTTGGCGTGTCTTGTGTGGCGGAGCACCCGGCTTCATCATCCTCATCCTCTGGCTTTTGTTTCTGTGTTGTACTAATCTGTTCGAAAATATCCTCACCAAAAACCTTTACAAATAATTTTGCTATTGACATAATTTTGGGTAAGCGCACTGTTAATGCATTGGTGTTTTAATTGTCTATTTGGCTTATTCCGGTCAATTTAATCGGAGTAACAATTTTTTCCAAAAGATTCAAGTAACGAATGTGAGTTTTGTTTACCTTCGAAAATTTGATTAATTGAATATGTCTCTTCTTCTAGTTTGCAGCAGTTCGCAATTGATTCGAATGTCAGTGGGTCAAAACACCAGGTATTCCATATTAAAGAATATTTTTACTTAATTTTGTATTAAACAATTTATTTTGCTTGTACAATGCACTAGCAGACCCGGCGAACTTCGTTCATCCAAAATCAATTTTTTATTGAAACATTTGATCTAACGTTTTCACCAACAATTTACGTTCTCGCTACGTTTGGTGGTCGGCATTCATTGCCATCTTAGGCTATCTGCACACTTGTCGTCCAATCATAGTTGCGTTATCGTCTCGCCCTGAAATTTTGAGCCGAGCACATGCATTTCAAAGGAGATCTGCACACTTGTCGTTATCGGCTAGTTATCGGCAAATCGTAGAAGATGCAGAAACAGATAAGTACGGCACTGTCGTTTGCTAATCGTTGTGCACGCATTGTTTGTTTAAATTTTATGGGGGAAAATTAGTGAAAAAGTTAATATTTGCATTAAAATTGTATAAAAATTAGTATTTTTTCGCATAAAATCTGTGGAAATTATTAAAAAGTGGATAATTGCATTAAAATTTAATAAATATGAGCGTTTTAACTATAAAATATGACGAAATTGTATTAAGTCTCTGTGTGCATACACAAAACACATTCCAGGAAAAGAAAAGAAGAGATATTACTGGAAAATTACGTCTAGAAATGTTGCAGCACAGTCTATATTTAAAAAATTGCAGGTTTTTGTAAATATTTCGCGAAAATATCAACCAAAAAAAACAGAAAATACCTGCTCCAAGTGAATTTTTAGACGCCAAATGAATTGAAATATCACGACCAAGTATGCAGAAGTGTAATCGTCATGTAATCGTTGCTTCATGACGATAACTATGACTCAACTATGATTGGACGACCAATGAGCAGAAAGCCTTAAATAACCTAATGGAAGCGGTATGTCCGTGAAGAAGTTCTTGTTCAATTTTAAAATAGGGGAGTATCAAATAAGACCTACCAATGTTAGACACGTATAACTTCTTTATTTTTCAATACTATTTTTTTTCTTTTTGCATGTTATAGTTAATCTCTTGGAAAATCATACGCTATTCGTTTAACACAATTAGCCCCACAAATTGATTTTTAGGTAATGTTTTGATGTCGGATGAAGCGCATTTCCAAGCAAAACTTATCCAGATGCTCTGTTTTGTGCAGCCGACGGCAGAGCAGCATTCTAGTTTTTGGTTCCAACAAGATGGATCACCTGCGCACACTGATAGGCCAACTATGGACCTATGAACTATGAATGGTAGGTCTTATTTGGTCCACCCTGTACATACACATACTGTACTCCACCCGTTGCAAGCATTGCACTTGACTGAGAGGGAGTTGTGGTGTAGTCGTCTCTGGCACACAAAGCAGGTGTTAGTTTCTGACCCAGGGTTTGACTCAATGCCAGCCCTGATCAGAAGAGTACATAGCAGATGTAGCCATATGGACGAACAACGCTTGAGATATTTCACCGACCTCAACGAGGCTAGATCGCCGAAACACAACAACCCTTACTCGGGTAAAACCCGAGTCATTCCGGTGCGCAGAAGCGACTGTCGTGGGAATGAGTTGTGCCAGGCCTGCTTCTGGTCTATCTCCGCAGTTCTGCTTCTGCTATGCTTATGGGCGGAGGTCGACAACCTAGAACGATGTTGCCTTTACGAATGTTGAGGATCAGTCTAATTGCATCGCTGTGTAAGTGGTTGGTTGAGTGCTGTTCTGAGGCTCACTGTATGGAACGTATGGTCTATATATGACACGGTGTGGTTTGCTCATATATATGAATATATACAGCGAAAAATTCTTTCATATGCTGTCCCGCATGGATCAGTCTCGAAATCGGGATATACGCTACGTTCCAAAATACTTCTCTAATAGTAAAGTTTGACAGTTACGTTCTTCTGTCACCTGCCATAAGTTCACAATTATCAAAATTGACGACGTGTTTATTTTGTTGTTTTCTTCGACAATTGCAGCAGACAGTGGAAGTATTATTTCTAAATTTTCACAATTAATAGACTAATAGAGTAATAATCTGTGCAAAAATATAATTTCGAAATGAGTGCTGACTGGGATGAGATTAAACGTTTAGCTGCAGACTTCCAGAAGGCACAACTGACGTCGACTCTGCAACGGTAGGTGCATTGCAATTGCCAGCCAACCAAAAAACTAAACGATTTCTCCCAAACAAATTTTCAGCCTTTCTGAGAGGAATTGTGTCGAAATTGTTACCTTATTGCTGGAAAAGAACCTACTCGAAGCCTTCTTTACCAACGATGGCAAGGAGTATATTACGCCGGAGCAACTAGAACGTGAAGTACAGGATGAACTGTATGTTAACGGCGGCCGTATAAATTTAGTGGAAGTCAGCAAGACACTGAATGTAGACTTATCGCGTGTAAGATAAATACACACTATACATACTTAAATAAAGTGCATTTTAAATTTTTTTATATTCACAGATCGAAGAAATTGGTTCACGAATCGCTGAATCAGATACAGAAATATATTTCAAGTTGGGACAATTGATTAGTGAGCAGTACATCACACGTATCGCCGAGGAAATAAACGAGCGACTGTCACAGAAAGGTGAAATAACAATCTCCGACCTAGCGCAACAATTTGATTTACCTTCGGACTTTCTACAGCATGATGTTGTCGAGAAGCATTTAGGCAAGATCATACGTGGGCGACAGGATACTGCTAATCCTCGCGTATTCTTCACTCAAGCTTACATACAGCGTTGCAAAGCTAAAATACGTGGCGCTTTAAAGGCCATAACGCGTCCGACGAATGTTGCCACTATCTTGCAGCAAATTAATGTGCAAGAAAAAATCTTCCATTCTTTGTTTGATGAAATTGCGCCTGCTGGTAATGTGACATCTAAGCAGCCAAATGCACAATACATTCCACATATCTACACTAAGATGCAGGTAAGAAGCAAATATTCATTATATGCGTTGCATGTAGTATAATGCTATGTTATATATCCTACTATTATAAGGCCGACTGGGTCAATTCATTTTACAAACAAAACGGCTTTCTGGAGTACGAGGTCATTAGCAAGTTGGGTGTTTCTGATGTGAAACAATTTATACGCAAGCAGTTTCCAAACGAAGACATTATTTACTTGAAACGCTGTGCCATTGGTTCTAAAATTATTGATCTGACGGTGCTCAGCTCATTGAATGAGTGCAGCGCTACGAAAAGCTTTGTAGACCTAGCCACCATACTGCCTTCTAATATGTCAGAGGAAGATATTGAAGAGGTTTTTGAGACGATAATTTCACGGAAGGGCACAGCACCGGGTAACTTTGTTTTCCTACAAAGCATTGGTAAGCGAAACGCATTTTTTATAATCCTTATAAAACATTATATTTATTTAACGCCTCCAAAAGTATTTTCACAGCAATATTTGAATGACCTCATTCAGCCCTGTCACAATATTGCAAATGCCAATGCTAAAACTGCAGTTGAGAGTGGAGTTTACCAGCAATACTTAGCTGAGAAACAGCTTTCTGGCAAATCAAATTTTGTCCAAGACTTCGAGGATGATTCAAAGGCTGATAAGCGCGAAGAACGACGCAAGAAGGCTGCCACCGGAAAAGCAGGCGGGGGCAGCCAGGGGCGTGAAACTAAGACCAAGTCAACTAAGAAACACCAGCGTGGAGGGCGTGGTGCTGCTAATGCTGCAGATAGCGATGATGAACAAGATACACGTACAGGGGTAGGCAAGAAAGCGGCAAAGTCATTCGAATTAGTAAAAGTGGAAGATATAGTGAAGACCATCAACAAGACCTTGGAAGAGGAAGGATTGGAATATCTCTCCGACACTATTGCTGCACTTTATTACAGGTTCGTCATTTCGTTCGTCATCAGTTGACCCATAGTCTTTAATGTTTCTGCTTCTCTATCTAAAGTCAATTAAATCAAATTGCACTCGCCAAGGCGCAGGAACTGTTCGAAGCAACTCCTCAAACTAATCGACGGCAGACACATGCTGCCATACAGGAGCGCATCAATACGTTAATCGTTGATTTGCGTTTATACGAGAAGGGTTTAAAGGTAAAAACTGAATATTTAGTAAATCCCAGTTTGTTACATTTTCTCTTGTATAGCTATTACCCGCCGACACGCAGACTCAGCTGATTAAATATTTGCTCAAATCCCTTGGCAATGATATTTGCAATGAACTGACCGCCTATATTGCTAGCGAAAGCAATTTAACTACGAAAATCACCAACCTCAATGTCGATCAACGCAATAAAATAGCACAAGAATGTGGTAGGAGTACTTATAGGGTTTACATTTAAAAGAAAATATTAATAATTATTATTTTTTTCAGATCCTCAATATAAACTAGTCTTGTTTGAACTCAACAAGGCGCTTAATAAAACAGTAGACGATTTTGTTGCTGCCATTGAGAGCGCGCTGAAAGCATGTAGCATGATCATCAAGAAAGTGGACAAGAAAAAAGATCGCCAACTGATACTGCAACACAGAGAAAAACTTCTCCAACAGCTGCAAGAGACCGTAGAACCCGCTTTGGTTCTGCATTTAGTATCTTTAATACTTTTTACAACAGTGACTGGTTGTATACTCCATGCTTCCGGTAAATTCGTAGCACAAATATTGGCCTTTGTACGCCCCAGTTTGAGTAATGAGCAAAATGAACAACTTATGCAATACCACGGTGAGTAGTAAGATATTTTTGACTTGAACATTGTTTTATTGAAAGTGTTTTGTCTTCACAGATCTTGTTTTAAAACTATTACAAGCTACGGAAGATAGCGATGAGGCGAAGCTCATAAGTGAACAGTTGCAAAGTCTACAGAATGCCATTAAGGAGTTGGCAGCATGCTATGAAAAGCCGGGCACCTCGAAAACAGAATAAATGCTGGTGCATATACAATATGAATAAACAATACCAGTTTGGGAGTGATATGCCTTTTTGTAATGCAAGTCATTAATAAACATATTTAATCATCGCTTGAAACTAATTTTTTTTATTTATTTTACAATAAATCTACTTACATTTACCGGATTATCGCAAAACCAATATTTTTGTTTAATTTTTTGTGGACGCCCTATCATTTTAACATTTTCTATGTAGAGCGGTGTAGTATCATAAAGAAATAAACATCAAGTTTTTATGTCACAATGTATTATTTTTATTTGAAACTCTATGGAGTCTGAAAAAGTGCTTACAGCTATTTAATTAAACATCTACAATTATATAGCTAGGCCAACTACATAAACTATATACATAACGTATTCCAAAAGGAAACAAACTGCAAACGAAAGTCGTATTCAAGTGAATAACGGCGCGCTGCTGTTGTATAATTTGAGTATAAGTACCAAGTCATGTGAGAACTAATAGCTATGTAGCCGTTGCAGAATTTGCTTGGCCTTGTCGCAGGTTTGCCTAGAATTTCAGATAGAGTTGTTATAGATTTATTTTATGTATGTATGGTATGTAGTGAATTTTGAACACTTTTCAATTACTTACATAAAAAGCGGATTCTTTGCATCGAATGCGTCCAAAGTCTGCTTGATGTAGGTAATTAGTAATTGCAAATTTTGCAGCGTTTCCGATTCCGGCTGTAGCCATACGGTTGGTAATGTATTAACAATTATATAAGCTTTACTTATCGCATCATTGGCTGTGCACACCTGTAAGATTGAAAATTAATAAAATGTAAGTTAGAAGTGGTTTATTATTTAAATATTTTTATTTTTTGTTTTTTTTTGTTACATACCCTCATAGCCAGTAGTAAATAACGGTTTAGCAATGAACCTATTGCTAGTTCACGCAAAGGTTTATCCGCAACAATGCCCTGCCAGCTAAGAAAATTTCGAAATAATTTCAGACCACTACAGAATTGGCGTTGGAAGAAAGAAGTCTTGGCCTCTTGTACTCTGAAGATCAATGGAAAATTGCAATTGTTTAATTAGCTTAGCTACTATATGGTGGTGTTTACTTACTGTTTAGGAAAAATTGGTATAAAGACGTCATTCTCTAATGCTAATTTCATTTTTTCTAAAATCTTTTCAAACAACTGCTGTAACTGCTTTGAAGTATCTTTCAGTGGGAAATCGCGACCCAAGCGGTTTATAAAGCCAATTAAACGCAATGTTTGTGTTGTCGATAGTGGATCCCAGCATTGATTGACTATATCTGCACAATAAATTTGACCAAATTAGCTAAGCAGGTAAAGCATTGTGCCTTGATATTTAAATGCTTACCAGTAACTTTGGGTAATATAATTTTCTCAATGATTGTCGGTACTAAACTAACATCAACATCGAGCCGTAGAGACGTCTCGGTTTCATCCTCACTCCAAGCGTAAAGCATGCAAGCTGAATACCAATGCATTTTTTCAATATCTTTGTATTCTTCTAGCAGTGGTGACCAGGATAACATTTCAAATCGTACTAGAGGCCCCAAAATCTAGTAAACCAATAACAAAATTTATAATTCAAACGATTAGAAATGCACAACTCTTCTATAAACACAATCGCTCAACTACACACCTTCGGCAAGCAGAGACTAACAAATGCATCCTTGTAAGAATCCATGTCGGTTTTGCGCCAAGCATAGAATTTCATTAAAATTAGTTCGACTTTATAAAAGTCATCGTTTACATCGTTGAATATTGCCTCTGCCTCTTTATGAATTTGCTCTGTTCAAGATAAAATCAAATATGAAATACAATTCAAATATTTGTTTCCATTGAAAAATGCACACCCACCTAAATTACTTTGTAATTGTTCTTGGTATCGGTCCGATGTTTCATCGTCGCTAGACATGCCGTCTAAATGCGAAATGAGAAGTTCATTTTTCTCACGATCACAACGTCGGCGTGTACGTCTACCTTCACGCTCTGCAGCGCGGCGTACCTGTTCCTCCGATTCGGGGCCACGGCGTGAACCTGCAGGTTCTAAAGCAACGAAAACGAAGATTTTTACTTTAGTGACATGACCAATTGGAAATAAAATTTTGTTGCTTACTTGATGCCTCCGCCATTTCTTTAGCTTGATCGCGTATATCTTGTCGGCGGCGTTCGATGAGGAAATTCTGATGTTTTGAAAATGCATGTAAACTGCGTTTCTCTAATTCATTAATTATCGGGGTCTGAATCAGATATAAGGGGAAAGAAAATTGTTCTAAGTTTTTGTTACAACGCCCATGAAATTTTGTTTTACAACCTTCTCAGTCAAACAGTCGACCAAATCCGCAGCATAGCACTTCAACTCTTGATAGAAACGATATTTTGCCGCCGCCGTTGGTGCCTTCTGTGTGCAATCCAATTCTTCAAGTTTTAGCACCTTTAACTCGTTCGCAATACGTTCGATATCCGACATATGTTTTTCGTTAACCTCACGTAACTTCATCAAACTGTTAAAAAAAAGAGAAGTAAATTTTAAAGTCTTACCTAGTATAGGTCAATTACAGAGCACTCTTCAAGTTGCACATAAAACATACCGCGTTTGTATAGCATCGTGTATTTCATTGGGTGTGCGTAATGATACTGCTTTGCTCTTCTCCTTTTTTGTCTTCGTTGCTCCACTCAATATTTGCTGTGGCTTCTGTAGTGCGCTCTTTGCATATGCTTGCTCCAGCAGTGTTGATGTGGATTGTTGTTCTGGCGCATATTCCAACGCATTCGTACCGGTAGGCTTAATCATAAACCGCGAGAGTACTGCATCATGTTGAGCACTCACCAGTTGCGCACCAGTCACGCCTTTACGTATTTGTTGATTTTCCCATTCATGCATTTCTCGATCGGAATCCTCATCAGTATCTAGGAGTAGAAGTAGAAAATTGCGTGCTCCCGTAAATTGTTGTGTTTCAATCAAATGATTTGTGCAATAAACCAATATTAATAATAAAAATTGGCGCCATATTCCAGTTGACATTTAACTGGGATTTTTTTTTTTAACTACGCAACGCTACATACAATCGTTGTTTTCCACCGCGTAAAATTGTTCACGTCGTTCCTCACGCTCCTTCTTGCCAGTTGCGACTGTCATGTCCATTCGTTCCTCATCATCCGAATTATCTCCTTCTACATCCTCGCGCGCCAATCGACTGCCCTTCTTAACTGGCTCTTTCGGTTCTTCGACGGGTATAAAGTCGCCTAGACACACAACCAAGCATTCCGAATTATTATTGTTATTCAATTAACTCGTCCGAACAATTAGAAGTTAGCTTACCCTGCTCTCTAGCCTTTTGACGACGTTTTCGCGCTGCGTGTATCATGGCCGCATCCGGTATAGAACCACTTTCTAACATTTGTTTCAAGTGTTCAGGCTTAGAGAAACGATGTTTGTCATCAGGATCATCTTCTTCCTCTTCTGGCTCATCCTCATCCGACATATCGTTGCGGCCTGCACATATTGCGGCGCGTCCATTAAGAATAACATCAGGCTCAGATTTTTTAACAACGAGCTGTGGACAATATCGTACAAGGACAATGTTAATATACTTAAAGGGAAATCCGGTTTTACTTTAAAAACAAGTTATAGAAAAGGAGATGACAATTTTTTTCTACAAAAGCAAAAATTTTTGGGAAAAGTTTCCATACAATTTAATTTTGGCATGTCTTAAGGTCTGACGATTTTTGATTCCATATTTAATACCGTGGATTGGCAACTATCAAATTGTTTTGTTTGAATTAATAAGCACTAGAGCACTAAATTGGCAGCTCTTGAAAAGAGATATTAGCAACAAAAACCACTCCATGCAAGTTAACTTATATACATATGCACATATTTATTCAAGCCTTAAGAAACATTGAATATAATGTTGCTTAGTTTTTGTTGCTTGATAAATTAATTAATACTAAAAATTAAATTAATTTTAAAATATAGTTACAAAATCTTATTAAAATATTTATACAACATATATAATTTTAAAACGTACACAATTGTAGAGTAACCCTTTTAGGCGCAAAATTCACAAACTCCACCTAAATAATTTTTCGTACCCCTTTCGAATCTATTCTTTTTTTATTTTTATTAATTTGCGCCGAAAAGGACTACCAAAAGAACCCAAAACGGTGATTAAAAAAATGTGTTTACTTCACCGTATTAGTCTGTACAATATTTCTAAGAAAAGCATTTCGCAATTGATTGCTGCCAAATTTTAATGTTTTAAGTATCTAATAAAACAGGAATTAAAGTCAGATAATATCGTGAAAAATCCACTTCCTTATTCCGCGATATATCTTTATAATTACAACATTGTATGGTGCAATTGCGTATTTTATATAAATTATGTATATATTGTCTTTTGTCAGCGAATGCGAAATGCTTCTCCCGCTTTTTTCTCAAAGCCTTAGCAGCTTTGTCGCATATGAACACTCCACGTACCATGTACTGTGAAGCGCTGCGCGAAAAAAGCTTTTATATTTTTCTCACTTGGAAATTTTTTATTCTTTTTATATAAAAACATGTAGGGAAATTGATAATAATAACCTTACCACAAAGTCGTCTGTGCGTATTTCTGTTTGGATACTATCAGATTTTTTACTTTTACACTGCTCAGCAGCAGATGCTGAGGCAATGCCTACGGCTTTTCCGCCCATGGTTGCCAGCGTGGTTGTACCCTTATATTTATTGCTGGAGGTTGTTGCTGAACCTAAATTGTAAGAAATATTATTGCTGCTGCCACCAGTAGATCTTCCATTATCGATACGGTCATGCGATTGCTGCCGATCGCGTTGTCTACTTGTCGAGCTGCCACCGATAACACCGAAACTAGAACCTGCCGTAGACTGTGAACTTTGGCGTTCCTCTTTTCGTTTTCTGCGCCGCTCGCGATCCAGCATTCGCATAATTTTTTTACTGTTTGATGATTTGCGAACTTGAAATACCTCCGTATCCTCCTCTGCAAATCCATAAAAGATTGTATGTTAAAAAAAGGAAGTACGTGTGCTGTTGTAACTGATTAAATGAAATGATATTGATTTTACACCATAAACACACACATCCCGAAACTACCCAATCGCTAAATGATTCCTTACCGTCGTCTGCAAAACTTAAAAGCGCTTTAGGTTTCTGCTCCTCGACTTTTTCTACTTTACTAGCGGATTTTTTGCTACCGCCATCTTTATTCTTTTTATTAATTTGCACCGGTTGTTCTCTATCAATGTCCATTTCCATGGTATCTGCTGCATTTTCTTCGTCATCCAAAGTGCTAAACACACGCCGCTGAATTTTCTTTGGTTTTCGGAAGAGCGACATTGTTGTTATTGTTGCTTATTCTCAAAGTAATGTTGATCAATTTTGTAATATATTAACTAAGAAAACTTTTGAAATACAATAAAATATGAGAAAAAGTGGAAAACTATTCCTCGTCTGGCCTAAGTAGGGATGTTCCGATGCTAGTAAATACGAGTATGTACTCGATACTTTTGTTTCGATACCAACTATTTTTTTTACTCGAATCATTGTTTCGATACCTACTTGGGAAAGTACTTCTATCGAATCGATTTGAATCTTGTCGGCTATATTTTTCTATAGAAAATAATCGGGCAGGTTCTGTAATTCACTTCCGAGTGAATTTCAATCCCTGCCAATTTTGCAAGTTTGATTGAAATTCACTCGAAAGTGAATTGCAGAACCTGCCTGAATTGCTTCAATTTTATAAAAAATAAAAGTGTGGATATATTTTTACAAAGTTAGTGATACCACAGCAAAGTGCAAGCAACGCTTTGTAGCCGTAAAGTTTTGTGGGAATCTTTCAAAGGTGGAATTTTTTCTCTAAGTAATAGTATTACTTCTGGTGTTACTAATAAAAAAATAAACACATCGATACCTCAATTGAAAATATATTGAATCGGAAGCTGATAGGGCGTTTTTGAACCGAATTCTGAAATAGGGTGTTCTTGAAGTTTTCTGAGGTATGGCGTTTTTTAATCAAATTCTGAAAAAGGTCGCCTTCGAAAAGTTTTCTACGATAGGTCGTTTTCGAATTGGTTGCCGAGATAGGTCGACCTTCCACTCAGGTGTCGCAAAAGGTATGTCACAGATAACGCCTGAAAATTACTTTCGCTTTGTTGCATTAAAAGGATGAAAAATTATCGATATAACTAGTTGTCGATACATTCGGTTCACTCATATACGTAGTATCGAAATAGCGGTTTGAGTAAACTCATTTGAATAGGTATCGATACTTTGAGGGTATCGGAACGTCCCTAGGCCTAAAATTTGCAAATTTTCTTATCTGACGTTTGTACATTTTTGACAACAAGCGTACATGATGTGGCCATATTGCCAGGAATCCGCGAATTAGTAATAAATCGATTATTTGATAAATCTAAAACCACATTCGGATCAGGAACGGAAATGAATTTTGAAAATGCACCCAATTTGAAAAAAAAACCTAACCGCTGTTAAATGTACTTAAAACATAAATGAGTTTAATTTTCCTCGAAGCTGGTCACTTTTCGTTTCCGTGTATTTACCACGGGCGGATTAAAATATTTGGGGGAAACTCACGATAGGGCTGGATATGGAACTCGACAAATCTTTGTGATTAGTAATAAGAGAAAACACAGAAAACTAGCTCCGTCCGAATTGAGAAGAGACTCATCGGGATTTTCGAAAGGCCAATGCAAGGCGAATTTATACAAGTTGGTGTTACTGGCGAAAATGATGTGTTTGTTGTAAACAAGGCGAATTCATATTACAACAAACACATCATTTTGACATTCAGTAGTTCCGCTGCGAAAATCAAAATTCGCCAGTTACACCACCTTGAATAAATTCGCCTTGGGCCGATGATTAAGATTTGGCAAAACATCAACACACACCAGCCTGTTGTTTCGCACTTTCCTCAAGAAATAATGGTACGGCCATATATTTCTGTTGGAGGCACGGGTTACCTTGTGCTCTTTTTTCACAAAAAACTTTAGAAAACCGTAGTAGAAAGCGTACTTAAGAACTGCGTACTTCCTTAAGAAAATTTCTTAGCCATTTCTTGTACTTCAATTTATATAAATTTTTGCTTTTCTTGAATGCTGTATACTGGCCTTAACGCACAAAATTTCAATTCATAAGTTCGTTATGTAGCAAATATGAAATATAGGTATATCCACTTAAATGTAAACGGGCTAAGAATCAAAGTACTAGAGGAGATATGAGCGTTTGGTACAAAAAGTATTTTTGGTGTTGAAATTGTACTTAAAGTCGACAAATTGTACTTTTGTACTTTCTAAATTTAATTGTACTCAAAAAAGTACAATTGTACGTAAAATATCAACACAGGTCGGGGCCGGTAGGAAAATGACGCGCCTATAACAAGTTCGCTTTTTAAATTGCAAAAGTCCGGCAACATACTTCAATTAATTTGTCGCAGCGGCTGGTAACCGCAACAGCAGCTGCTTATAATTAGTTGGGTGTGTTAAATAGCTCAGTACTTTTTAAGCAAGTACTTATCAGAATCTCGTTAATAGGAAAATATAAGATTCCGATAGGAATTTATTGTTAAACTAAAATGGGGCTAAAAGGTTGTGAAATTCAATTGGATAATCCGTGGAATACATATTACGCCGGTCAAACGATTAACGGACAGGTGAAATTGACTTTTGATTCCACGAAAAAAGTGCGAGGTATGTAGGAACAAGTAGAGAAAGTAAAATCTTATTAGAATAAATTTAAAATTGCGCATGGTATAACTACATACATATTTACATATCCAATGGATGCATTTTATATTAGTAAATTGGTGGTTTGTGAATAAACTCGAATGTATTACTCACCCATGACGACATACTCCGTAGCGCATCACATCATCGCATTGTGGGACAATCGGCTGCGTGATGCACCCATTACTATTGGGGCCGGGGGCGGTGGGAACACTGCTAACCTTCACCTCTAACCCCCCTTTCTTAATTCAGCATTAGGTGGCTCTACAGCTACACGTATACATTTCATTCCAAAGCTATTTAAATTTTTGCGTGCCCAATACGCTGTTGTTGTTGGTATGGGTAGTGCGGATTTTGTCTAGAGATCGACGAAACTTGAAAAAGCGGTTTCGTGCTTCACTTTGCACGTATATATGTACATATGTATGCATGTTCTTTGTTTTTTTTTGGTGTATAGACGGCTGACAATGACCCTCTTCATGCCCCATATCTGCCGAAGTATTTGGAATTTGCAAGAATTCCATAGTCCGGCTAATTCATACGTACATACATATTTGAACGAAGCAGCACTCCCCCAACAAACATACAGTGGAATTTCGGATTATATGTACATACATATATGTATGCACACATATGTGTATTGCTTCTAATTTTAACTACTTGAAGGAAATTGTTGTTGCACCGTAAACGTCAGCAGCATCATATCTGCGTGTGAGCGTGTTTTGCGTCTAAGTACTAACTTACTTTTAAAGTGAAACTAAACTAATATACCGATAGTTAGCGGGTGCGGTTATTGAACTGCTCTAGAGCAGACCCAATGGGTGCATTTGTATGTATAATGCAAATGCGTTACAATTGCTGGCCATCAAGTAGAGGCTTTTTAATTATCTATACAAATAATTTGACTTGTGCTAATATTTTACCAAAATTTTCAGTCAATGGAAGAATCGTGAGTATGATGTCATCTTTCAAATGATAAATAAGCTACTGCAAAGCTTTTAGGTATATGTATGTACATATGTATGTGTGTAAGAATGACAAGTATGTATTACTAATAAAATGCGCAAAAAATTAATCCCTATTTTTTAAGTATTTTTGATATATGTATTTAGATTACGTTTTTTTTTTGCATCAGTACATGTACATACATACATACATACTTACATATAAACTCCAATAAACCTTACACCTGTTTTGCAATAACTTTATTTAAATCTTCCTCA